AACCTATTTCAGGTATATGATCTACATACCCGTCACCGATCACAAGCTTCCGGCCCCACCATTCTACTGCTCACACCATACACTACGTTCCTGGTAAAACCATACACCTCGTTACACTACGTTTCTAGTAAATGCATCTGTGAAGGGCAGATACATTATAGACATAATGAAGAAAATCACAAAAAGTGCTTTATAACAACTATATTGTTCTAATTTAAGATTATTTATTATTTTATTAATTTTATATTCATAGTATATTAAATGTTTTCTTATTATCTAGATGTTAATGTATTTAAGATTTAGAACAAGGAAAGAGTTATTATTTTATGAAGCTTTTGTATCTGCACAGAAACCTGAGTATTTTAATACAGTACTATGCTGTAATTATGTAGTAACTATATAGTTACTACTGCATTAACTATTAAAGATGTAAACATCACAACCTGAACTAACTGTAGGCTGTACCCGATTATTTATATACCGCAAAAGGGTAGTCTCCTAAACCTGAGAAATGTCTGCATCTTTAGTAACTATATATTAATTTTCAAATAGTAATATTATCTTAAATTTGAGAAATATCAGTATTATATTTTTTTAAAAAAATAATTTGATTTTTGCACAAATAAAATTATTTGATAAAACTCGAATTTATTAATAAATATAAGCTATACGTAATAGTAAAAAGAATAAAAGCTAGATATAACTATTACTAAAATTCATATAAAATTAAAATTAGGCAACAAAAAAAACTTAATAAATCGGTTCTCATAACCCGTCCAGGTCAAATTTTAACCAAATTCTTTCTAAAGTATATTTACTATCAGGGTGGGTTTTTTAAAAACATCTATAAAATATTTTGTGTCGCGAAATAACACACAGGAATGTAATTTAAAATTTTGGCCTAAATTAAGCTTAATTCAGGCCATGAAACTAAGTAACGCCCATGTGCGGTATCTCGTGACAATACTGTATAAATTTTTTAAAATCAGGCATCAATCTTCAATCAAAGTGCTAATGTAATCAAGTGTTAGTGTTCGAGTGTACACAAAAAAAAAACTTATTTGCTATTTTTGACCATTTAGAAAGCAGCAACAAAAGCTGGGTCGCTGGACCATTTTGAAAACTTTTCTAAACTGCTTTAGAATAACTATAATACGTATAAAATAGACTTAATAAATTTAATAAAATATATCTTGATAATCTTACTAATAAAATTTAGAATCAAAAGCTCTAAGCTAAAAAAAAAGAGTACAAATTCGATATAAAATAAATCTAAAAATTAGACATTAATTACTAGTTAGTTACGTACTGCTGTACTGTGTCTTAAGTTTTGCGTATTAATCTACCTTACATATCTAAAATTTGATTGGTATCGATATTAGAAGTGATTTGATTGGTACATATTCGTCTCTATTCAAGATCATGCTGGGGATAGCTTATTCATTTGCTGGGTGGGCTCAAGTGTCACATCATAAATTAAGATGATCAGATGGAGGCACGTTAAGTAACATTCGGGCAACATGTATGTATACGTAATGTGTACTTAATGTTACCTTGATGTAAATCTTATTTTAGTGTATTAACTTTTTATGAAATAAAATAAGAGGCAGATTTTTACAAATGTAACAATGTAATATTTACACTAAGAGGGTAAGATTAATTAATTAAGATTGAAATGAAATCTTTTGAAAGATTATCTAGTAATGTTTATTCGTAAAAGATGTTACCACGAGTTGATACTCTTAGCAAAATTCTAATTGTACGAAATCTCACCATCAATTATTGGTGCATGTTCAACATCAAAATATTAAAATAACTTTTAAGTGCAAGCAAAATGCTGGATACGCAATAGGAAAAAATCTAGTGCCGCTAATAAATAAGATAACTGTGGGCAAGGATGGATTGCAAAGGATACGGCGGACTCTTGCATACATCTAAAGTGTTATGTGCAATCATTCTGTATGCTAAGAGACATGAAAAAAAAGAAAATCATAAAAGATATAAAGAAGGGTCCTTAAATTGTCAAATAAAGACATAGTTTGGTAATAATATATTAGTCTAACCTTAGCGACAAGACGTTCTAAAGAAATGCCACAAAGTTGTCCAAAGTTTGATTGGTACTAAATCGCTTATACAGTATGCATTACAAAATTTGAGATTCATTCTATAAGAATAATTTAGTAAATTTACACATTTTTACTAATAACGGAATTAACAGCCAATAAATATATAATTTATTTGATTAATGAATTATTTGATATTAAAATTGTATAAGATTTAAATATAAATACATTTATAACATATAGATACATTTATGATATAGATACAAAGATTAGGTTATAATCAATATAAACCTGATCAACATTTTATGGTATAATTTTATATTATATATATATAAATATAGAGGTTTATATAATATATATTAAAAGTTTAAAATATTAAAGGATTTTTTTCGCCATTATCTCTATTCGTTGAAAGAAAAGTTTCGATTAAATCTAAGTAAGCATCAATTTTGTTGCCTTCAAGTTCTAGAGAAATCATTGTAGTATTTTTGAAAAGAGCATCTCTTAAAGATTTTCCAACCTCACAATCAAGGTTATTATTCGAAAGATCTAAATATGCTAAAGAAATATTTTTAGAAAGGGCTTTTGCTAACGCATTTCCACCTTCAAAACCAAGATTATTTTTACTAAGGTATAAGGAAATTAAAGTAGTATTCGTAAGAAGGACTTCTGCCAGAGCTTTTCCTACTTCAGAATCAAAATTATTATTACAAAGGTATAAGGAAATCAGTGTAGTATTTTTACAAAGGGCTTCTGCTAGCGCCTTTCCTCCTTCGGAACCGAGTTGATTATTTCTAAGATTTAAATGCCTTAAAGTAGTATTTATACAAGGTACTTTATCACCTTTAGAATCAACATTGTTCTGTGAGGTGTTTTTACAAAGAGCTTCCGCTAGCGCTTTTCCACCTTCAGGACCAAGTTGATTATTGTTAAGATCCAAATGAGTCAGAGCACAATTCGTAGCGAGAGCTTCTGCTAGCATTTTTCCTCGTTCAGAATCCAGCTGATTATTACTAAAATCTAAATGAGTCAAAGTAGTGTTCTTACAAAGAGATTCTACCAAGACTTTTCTTATATCAGAAGTAAGTTTGTTATCTTCAAGAGATAAAAAAGTCAAAGTTCTTTTGTGAACAAAAATTTTTGCTAATAAATCTACCATTTTATTATGTATTCGACCATAAATACGCAAATATTTAGGTTTCTCACTTGTTCGCAATAACATTATAGTTAAAGCATATCTAATTATTTGAACTTTTAGAGACTTTGAATCTATTTTTACATGGGTTGAATTATGGGGACTGACAACTTCATTTTTAAGCCAGTTAATAATTCCAGTGTCAGTAAGGATGTAAATAACACTAATATACCTAGAATATTTAAAAAATGGTTTTTTATCATTTGCGAGCATTATATTATGTGATTTTAATAAAGCCTTTTCTTCAGAATTTAATGCCAAAAGACATGTTCTTACGAGTTTCCAATCTTTAAAAAATTCAGGTTCACTCCATAATATTGGTACAACATTTTTGCACCATTGGCGGTTTACAAGAAGGCATGAAAATAAGCTTTTATAATGACCTTTAAGGTTATGAAATATTTCTGAAAGACTTTCATCTGGTAATGACATTTTGAAAAATTAAAAAAATCATTATTGGTTTCGGCACTATTTTATATCGGAGTTCCGTGAACCATTTTAACTATAATAGTATTGAAGTATTTTTTGTGTTGTTACATAAATTACAAGGAATTATCGATTGTTTACATGTAATTATTATTAATGTTATGGGAAGTAATCTAATATTAACTCGTGACACGTCCTAATATCTCTAAAATCACATGATCACTCATTTAAGTATATCAAGATATCCTAATAAAGGAATTAAGCAAAGCACATGAACATATAGATACGTATATCATTAGAGGTTATAGGAATAAATTCACTAATTTTTATTAATGCTCTCAAAACTATTTTAAAAAATAAATTGGCGCTTAATTATTTACTTTAAATATGTGATACATAAATCCATTTTTTTTTACGTAGACTTATTTATATAATCGTTTACCGGTATATAATTATCAAGAAAATGCCAATTTTATTAATGTTTCGTCTATTAAAGTTCGCTGTGTCGGAATTTTAAAAATAGACGTAGGATCTTTTAAACTCCCACTTATTTTCAAAAAAAAACTTAATTCTGAAACCTCCTATTTTCAGGCTTAAATGAATACTGCAGAGTAAAACCCGAAAGTGAAAATTAATTTTTCTTTGTAACGAATTTAGACCGTACTGCAGTACTGAATTGATGTTTGAACGTAAAGTACGTACGTTACGTATTAACGTTAATGATCAGCAACCTGATAGTTTTGTAAAGCAAGTAGCCGTTGTGACGTATTAATTTGTTATACGTATAAAAATATTAAAGTGATACATGCTATTCAACTCAACGATGAAATCACTGGATATACATACCAGGAGGAACCTTCACACAATGTACAACATATTAGAATTATTTACAATACCAGAACATTCTGCTAGTACGTGTTATGATTATAATCCCGCACCATTTTATGATAATAAAAATGTTGTGAGATTATAATCATAACACGTACTACAGTACTAGCGGAATGACCTGGTATTGAAATTCTTTTGGGACTAAACACACTACAGTAAAATGAAAATTTAAATTTTCGCTTCCAGGTTTTCATTCAGCAACATTAATCATTTGTTGTTATGTATTCACAATATATGATAACAATGTAATTAGTTTACAGAAACGTCAAGTTGTGCTAAATATGTTTATTATAATTATTATAGGGTTACTACATATTTCTATTATAGTTTTTATTATTTCTATCATGGTTATATAAAAAAGACTGTGAAAATAGACATTTCCGGGTGCGGGTCAAAATCCTGACAAACGGAATCCCGACAGATCACAATCCCGACAAAAAAATCCTGACAGTAGAAAATCCCAAGTATGAGATATGTTTAAAGCGAAATAGACTCTTATAATTTAATTAATTTTAGGGTTAGATCACTTTAGATAATGGTTGGGATAGGATTTGCTATGGTCTATTATATTTTTTATCAGTTTTTAATTGTCGGAATTTTTGACTGTCGGGATTTTTGACTGTCGGGATTTTTAGCTATCGGGATTTTTTGTCGGGATTATGACGTGTCGGGATTTTGACCCAAACCCGACATTTCCTAGATATAATATATATGATGGTATATTTGAAATTTATTTTTAATTAGAAATAATAAAGTAAAATTTATTTATCTTTTACATTTTAATTTAAATATATATTAAAGCAAGGGAAATTTACAAATAAGAGCTCGAAAGTGAAAATGATTACAAATACGAGTCCAAATTAAAAACAATCATATATAAGGTTCTAACATTTAAAAAATATTACTATAAGAGCCCAAAATGACTTCGACGTGTAAGCATCGATGAGTACTTGTTATTGATCATGTCATGGATGATAACTGATTATTCACTAGGATAATGTTTTTATGACGTGACCGAAGGTCACAGCATAATGCGGGATCTGATGTGAAGAAATCATCGATTATCGGCCACAATTTAACTAATAATACGCTTATCCGACATGTCTTATGTGAACATCGAACGATTGTTGTGCAGGTTATTGGTAATAAAAATTTGAGTATTGTATTAGAAGTAGGTAATTAACTTGCACAAAATCGTTCGATGTTCATATAAGACATGTCGGATTCATAGGATGACTTTCATTATGATTGGCTGTTTAAATCAATTTAATTTTTATTATTTATACAGTTTAAAGTACTTTTTAAAAAAGAAAACTACAAAAGAAACATAAAAAAAATTTTTTAACCCTTTTTATGGATCACTTATATCAAATTTTTGCTAAAAACATTTAATTATTTCTTAGATTTTACTAAGTAAACCATACTTATACTCTTAAATAAAGTTTTTAAGCTTACTAGGCAGCCAAGTTTTGGGTTTTAACAACATCTGCTTCTGGAGAAAAGTTTCAAAAACTAAGGTTTTGGTTTTTATTTATTTACTACATATTTTATTATGTTAGCATACTTCATTCCTTAATAGAAAACTATCAAGCATTTCAAACAGACATTTTGATATATAGTTTATTATAAATAAATCAAAACTTATCAAAATACAAACAAAAAGATGAAAATTAAAACCTGTCTTTGCAGTTTTTTTCATTAACATTTTAGAAAAAACTGCTAGGTTGTTCTAGAAATTTCACTTTTCTAACACCCATTAGATTTTTCTAAATATTAAAATAGTTTTTATAAATATATTAACATTGTTAAGTCTGACTTCTTTGATCTTAATAATTATATTACCAAATATAATAACAGTTTTGGTATTATTACTTATAATAATAACATCTATATTTTCAAAGTTATATCTATCAATTTTAATTCTAAAATATATAATTCTTAAAATAACTTTCATTTCTTTGTAAAACTCAATAAACCTGTTATTACTATTTGCTTTGTAATAAATATCATATCTATTTCACTTTATAACACATTATTATTCTAATATATTCTTAACTAATTTTTAAAAATACTCCTGATGCATTTAATTTTATGAAAATAGACTTCAATATGAAACTCTTTAAATTTCTCAAAAATCTCTTAAGATCCAAATTCTAACTAAAACATAAAATTACTCATGTATTCCCTACCTTCTGTAGTGATATTAGGAAAACCTTTACAAATCCTGTCTTTTTTAAACTGTTCTCATATTATATATATATATGCATTATATACAAAATTAAGAATATACTATGCATTATTCTTAAAGATAATAAATACTTACTAGATCCATAAGCTCTAATTTTTGTAACTAATAAAAGAAGCTTCACTACTTATTCAAAATGTATTTATTGTCTTAAACTTAAATACCCAACTGTCTTAATACTTATGAACTAGAAACAACAAAATTTATATTATAAAATTAAATACTAGCAACTATCAGCTAAAGAAAAACATATACTTTTTAAGAAATTTTTCAAAAAATTATCCAAAAAATTAGAATTATAAATAAATCTAAAGACAATAATCAAACTCAAAATACCAAAATATCAAAAATCTAAAATGATGATAATTTAAAACAAAAAAATAAATAAATAAAAAAAGAAAAAAAATTATACAAAAACACAAAACAATAAATAATCTTGACTGGTTTTTAAATTATTTTATTATTTCTAAAATGCAACAATATAATAAATTGAATACATTATTAGTCTTACAAGTTTTTTTATTTCTAAAATCATATTTTGTAAATTTTAATCTCAAATAAGAAATCTCTACTGAACCAGCTGATTCAAAACCTAACAACAAACCTTTTACTAATTATTCATTTAACTATATATTCAATAAAATAGTTAATAGTAATCTAAATTTTTAACTGACTTTATCTCTCAAAGCTAATTTTAAATTTGACCAATCAAACCCTATTTTTTTCAAAGTTTTAGTTAAAACTTTTAAAAATTTAGTTGCCAAATTTATAACAGTACTTTTTACTCAACTTGATTATCTATATATTTTCTATTTATATTACTTTATTTTATTATATTCAACAAACAACAGAAAAAAATTGCTATTAATATAACATGTTTACACTTATATCTAAACTATACTTACAAAACTATTAATTTTAAAAAATTTATAAAAAAACTTAACATTAAGTCTTTACACTTTACTTTAAATTTTATATAAATTATACTGTGGATAAATTACTATTTAATATTTAAAATAATAATAAATTCAACATTAAAGTCATATTGAATATTTTTATAAAAAAATTTAAAGATGACTTAATTCCTTCACTTAAACTCTATACCAAAACTTACAAAACCTGATTCCAAAAATTCTTTAAAAAATACAAAATTTAATTTGAAAAAATTAATCAACAAAAAACAAGCAATTACATCAAAATGTTAATATTCCAAAAGCTTATTGAAGACTACAAAGAATTTTTACCAGAAATCTACTTTCTTCCAAATATCTTATTTATACTTCAAGAATAATCTAAAGCTAATTTTAAAGTAGCACTTCATCATTTTTATAAATGTAACAACAAATTATGCAACTTATTGTCAGAAAATACAGAACATAGCTTTGAAAGTATTTTTAACTTTTATTTTTTCTAATCATTTAAATCTTATCCAGTGTTAGAATCTAATATAAAAGAATGAAATTATCTTTTATTAAAAACCAAATTATTTTAACTAGATTAACAATTAGCAGTAATATTCTCAAAATTAATACTTATAACTAAACTAAGAAAATTAACTATATCAACTGAAAATAACTTTGTATTACTAAATAATATAAACAGTAAAATTGTGTAAACTACATACTACTTCTACTAATACTTAAAAAAATATTTATAAGCAGTAGCAGAAAATGATGATATTCAAGAGTTATCTAAAGAAAAAGCTTTTAAAAAAATTATAAATACTATTATTAATATATATATTAGCTTGCATAATTATCTACTATAAAGTCCAATCCCAATTAAAAATATTTTATAAACAAATCAAAATTGATTATGACAAACTATACTACCTAGAAGCTGAAAATTTCTAAATTAAACACTTTAATATTCTATTCTTATTCAATACAATGACATACTTTTTATATAAAATTCAAATAAATCTGAAGAAAAATAAGAAGAAAACTCAACTACATTCATTACTAAAGATATTGATTCTAATAATTTTATCTTCTAAAAAGAATATTCTAAAAGCCCTAATTTCTAAAAAAAAACATCTTTTTAATAAGTTCTTTTACAGATAACATTAAAGCAACTGCCACCTCTAAGATTATAATATTCTTTATTTTTAGTAAACTATTTCTAGAAGAGAATGATGACAGTAGGTAGACAGTAAAGTCTATTATAGTAAAGGACCAGAATTATGACAACCAGACCTAATATATAGGGCAGGTTATAATATCCTTCACAGCTATGAAACTGAGCTTAAAACAGTGAGCAATTCTATAAAAAACATTACAAATACTATCTTTGCTTTTAATTCTTTAACTCCTACAGAGGTAGACAAATATTACAATAAATTTATAAAATATTACAACTTATCTCAAATACTGGAATCTGTTATACTTAACAAATTTATTTAATATTTACATTATAATCTTTTTTCTAATCTAATAAAATATCTATAAACTTTAATAAAACAGAAACATATATTTACTTAAATACTATAGAATAAACATTACCAAATCATATTATAATAGATCCTTCTTTTTATAAAACATATGACCACTTACCTTTATTATCTATCTTTAACTGAAAAATATCTAATATAAACTCTGACTTCTTCTTTTATATCTAATTAATTACTTAATCTAAACACTTCTATATTACCTTTAATTACCTTATTAATAATCTTATCTGAATATATCTTTCTTTTAATTAAAATTAGTTCAATAAATATTAATAAACTCTTTTAAGCTAATAAAAAACTTGTTTTAATTGAACTTTTATAAGAAGAAAATTTTAAACTTTTTGGATTTTTTAAAACACATCTATTCTTTAAAAAAGACAACTTTTTAAACAATTAAATTCAAAACTATTTTAGTTTCTAAAACTTATTTACTAATTCTTATCAAGTCAGAGTTACTATTTTTGTTCATCAAAAAATCTTCAAATATATTGCCAAGTCTTATAATTTTAATAAACATATAATTGGTCTTGATTTTTATTTTAAAAATATGCTAATTAGGCTTATTCAAATATATTTTCTAACTAATAAAAAAAATAACTTTGCAAAGAAGTTCAAGATTATTTAATTTTTCTCACTCAAAATAACAAATACAAATTAATTATTATAAAAGACTTAAATAGTATT